ATAGAGGCGAGTTTTTCAAAACTGGCTTAGAATTTTCATAGCAAATCCTGTTATATGAAAGTAATTCAGTTGAGGTTTAGCTACATGTTATGTTCTCATTTCCTGGTGTGTGTGTTTTACGTTTGTCTCACCTTAGGAATTGGGTTTTTTGGATCATGGTAACTGTATGTAATTTTTATAGATTTTCCTGATTTGTTTCTACAAACATTTCTAGCCAACTATAGAAATATAACCCTTGTGTCTGACCTACTGTATATGTTGCAATATATTTAGTTCTTTTCAGCAAACTTTAATTTCATCCATTTATTTAATGACATTCATACCCTATCTTTGAAAAGAGCCTACACGTCATTTATAAAACTCATCCAAATAAAAGACAGATAAAGTTTTGTTTCAAAAAAGCTACTGTAATTTACTGGGAAACATACATAGTATAGCCATGTTAACGATGCAGCAGAATAAAACAAAATCCACAAGAGAATGATTTGTAAAAATATCATTCGTTTTGGATTTTGTTTAATTTTGAAATTTGAAAAATGCTGGATTTTTTAGCCGGTTGCAATCTAGGCCTTAGAAGATTAATTGCCCTCCACCTAAATCAAAGATGGTATGATGGAATTCCCACTCACATTTCCAGATAGATAGATAGATAGATAGATAGATAGATAGGGATCTACACAGACATCTCATGAACAATGTATATTTATTATTGAAGTTCAGCTTTTGCACAAACTAGTTTGTGTAAAAGATGGGGCTGGAACTGATAGGTACCATGAACTGAACTGAAGTCTAAATGAAGAAATACTTTGTGCCTGATTTCTAGATTTTTCATCTTTTTTTCCTGTTTGCCTCAATAGCTTACATTATCCTTCCCAATGCAAGAGGGTTAAATCTCACATGAAAAATGTCAGGACCGCAAACCAATTACAAAATAATTCATCTTTCTTCTTATTGTTTATTCATTTAGTCGCTTCTGACTCTTCATGACCTCATGGACCAGCCCACGCCAGAACTCCATGTCAGCCACCACCACCCCCAGCTCCTTCAAGTTCAAGCCAGTCACTTCAAGGATAACATTGATCCATCTTGCCCTTGGTTGGCCCCTCTTCCTTTTTCCTTCCATTTTCCCCAGCATCATTATCTTCTCCAAGCTTTCCTGTCTTCTCATTATGTGGCCAAAGTATCCTTCCCTCCAGTGAGCTGTGGGGTATTATTTCCTGAAGTTTGGACTGGTTTGGTCTCCTCATAGTCCAAGGCACTCTCAGAATTTTCCTCCAACACCACAATTCAAAAGTGTCTATCTTCCTTTGCTCAGCCTTCCTTATGGTCCAGCTTTTACTATGCAGAACTTCGAAAACTTTGAAAGCTTAGAGAAGACAATTATACTGGGGAAAATGGAAGAAAAAAGGAAGAGGGTCACGAAGAGTCGGAAACGACTGAACGAATGAACATAAATAATATACAAATAATATTACGTACAGTATAAGAATGATACCTTTTTATATTATATGTAATATTACTAACATTACAGTATAGTGGTATAGTACAATATAGTAAGATAGACTAATTTTGTGCTGTGCTAATATGTTGTATACACATATTAATATTATAATGTAAAACAATATAATAATAATACAATATAATAATTATATATTTCATATTACATGTAATATTACTAATAATACAGTATAGTGGTGTAGTACAATTTGGGAATGTATGGTACTTTTTCTTTTTTTCATGTCAGAAGAAACTTGAGAAACTGCAAGTCGCTTCTGGTGTGAGAGAACTGGCCATCGGCAAGGACATTACCCAGTGGACGCCAGGATGTTTTGATGTTTTACCATCCTCGTGGGAGGCTTCTCTCATGTCCCCGCATGGGGAGCTGTAGCTCATCCATGCTCTCCCCAAATTCGAACCTGCAACCTGTCAGTCTTCAGTCTTGCCGGCGCAAGGGTTTAACCCACTGGGCTCCTTATGTATGGTACTAATATTGTGCTACGTTAATACAATATATTGTATTTACATATAACTTGTAAGCCGCTCTGAATTCCCTTGGAGGTGAGAAGGGTAGCATATAAATGTCATAAATAAATAAAATTTATATAGTTGTGGGAATCGAATGCAATAGGATCCCGAAGGATGCAAATCATGACCCTTGGCATCAATTTTTAAATGCTAGATAGGGTGATCAATTTCAAATCTTTACAGTGGTCAGTTAGTGCTGTTTACTAGGCATGGGTAGGTACAGTCGTTATCTTCTAAAATCATTATTATTTTGGAAAAAAATACCCTTTGAAGCGATATTGAGCCAAGCAGGAATAGTGGGAGGAGTAATTCCAAATTTAAACCACTTACCCATTGTTCGGAATTATTTTCGGATGTCTCCCACAATTATTTTGATTTTTAGAACAATTAAGCAACTTTGGCAAAGCCTCGCGGTTTCCATTCTTGAAGGCCATGTTTTAAAATCTCTCAGTTTCCCTTCCCTGTTAGTTTTAAAATCTTGTGTTTTCCCTTCCCCTGCTGGCGGTGAATACAGTGCTGAAGAGGGACGAGGTGGGCCTGGCTAAGAACAGCTCTTCCTGAAGGCCATGCCCCCAGTGGCCTTCAGGAAGAGCTGTCACTTAGCCAGGCCCACCTCGTTGCTCTTCATCACCACCAGGGAAGGGAAACTGCGAGATTTTAAAAGTGTTAGTTTTAAAATCTCGCAGTTTCCCTTCCCTGGTGGTGAGCTGCCATGCAGAGGGACCACGTGGGCGTGGCTAGGCACAGCTCTCCTTGAAGGTCGCTGGGGGCGTGGCCTTCAAGGAGAGCTGTGCTTAGCCACGCCCACCTTGTCCCTCTGCATGGCAGCTCGCCACCAGGGAAGGGAAACTGAGATTTTAAAACTAACAGGGAAGGGAAACTGCGAGATTTTAAAATTGTTTGTTTAGGCTGACTTTGTCAAAGTTACTTAATAGTTCTGGAGGGAGGGACACCTTTCATTAACGAAGCAAACAAAGCGATTTCCTGCTTTGTCTGTCTCCTGAGGCATCTGTATAACAGCCCAGTACCAACAGTAAGAATAGAAAAACAGACTGGTTCAAGATTGGGAAAGGAGTACAGCAGGGCTGTATACTCTCACACAACCTATTCAATTAGTTTGCAGAACACATCATGCAATGTATAGGGCTTAATGAATCCAAGGCTGGAGTTAAAATTGCTGGAAGAAACAATACCAACCCTAGATATGCAGATGATACCACTTTGATGGCTGAAAGCGAGGAGGAGCTGAGGAGCCTGATAACTAGGGTGAAAGAAGTGAAAAATCTGGGTTGTAGTTAAAACATAAAAAAAAACCCAAGATTTTGATAACTGGCAAACAGAGGGAGAAAATGTGGAGGCAGTATTTATTTATCGTGTCATCCGCAACCAGAACATTGTATTACATTTTTAACAGAGCAAAACAAACAAACAGATTTAAAAACAACACAAATTTTGCAAACTTGGTAGCTGATTAAATGTCCTTTGACCAGTATCTGGCCACTTGGAGTGCCTCTGGTGTTGCCGCAAGAAGGTCCTCCATCGTGCATGTGGCAGGGCTCAGGTTGCATTGCAGCAGGTGGTCAGTGGTTTGCTCTTCTCCACACTCGCATGTCGTGGAGTGGAGGCAGTGAGAGACTTTGTTATTACTAGGCGTGAAAATTACTGCAGACACAGACTGCAGCCAGGAAATTAGAAGACGTTTACTTCTTGGGAGGAGAGCAATGACCAATTTCGATAAAATAGTAAAGAGTAGAGACATCACATTGGCAACGAAGATCCGCATAGTTGTTCATTTGTTCAGTCGCTTCCGACTCTTTGTAACTTCATGGACCAGCCCACGCCAGAGTGCCCTGTTGGCCGTCGCCTCCCCCAGCTCCTTCAGAGTCAAGCCAGTCACTTCAAGGATGCCATCCATCCATCTTCCCCTTGGTTGGCCCCTCTTCCTTTTTCCTTCCATTTTCCCCAGCATAATTGTCTTCTCTAAACTTACCTGTCTCCTCATGATGTGGCCAAAGTACTTCAACTTTGTCTCTAATATCCTTCCCTCCAATGAGCAGTCAGGCTTTATTTCCTGAAGGATGGACTGATTGGATCTTCTCGCAGTCCAAGGCACTCTCAGAATGTTCCTCCAGCACCACAGTTCAAAAACATCTATCTTCCTTTGCTCAGCCTTCCCTATGATCCAGCTCTCACATCCGTAGGTGACTATGGGAAATACCATTGCTTTAACTATGCGGATCTTGGTTGCCAGTGTGATGTCTCTACTCTTCACTATTTTATTGAGATTGAACATTGCTCTCCTCCCAAGAAGCAAGCATCTCCTGATTTCCTGGCTGTAGTCTGCATCTGCAGTAATTACTTATATACTATTATTATTAGCATGAGCTTTATATAAATATGTTTTATGTCTGGAGCCTTCAGGGGCCTTCCACACAGCCATATAACCCAGAATATCAAAGCAGAAAATCCCACAATTATCAGAGTCCACACTGCCATATAATGCAGTTCAAAGCAAATATTGTGAGATTTTATACAGCTGTGTGGAAGGGGCCTGAGACTTATCAGATAGTCATTGAAAAACTATAGCAACATGTGCTATAGTTTTTCCATGTTTTATGATAGACCAGGTCTGGGCCAGCTTGGGCCCTCGAGGTGTTTTGGACTTCAACTCCCACCATTCCTAACAGCCTCAGGCCCTTTCCTTTTCCCCCTCAGCCGCTTAAGCGCTTTTGGAGAGGGGGAGGCTGTTAGGAATGGTGGGAGTTGAAGTCCAAAACACCTGGAGGAAGGGCCCAAATAGGCCCAGGCCTAGTCTAGATGCACCCAGTGATGGCCAGCATATTAGTGGCCTCACACACAGCCTTTCCTCTATGATGCCCCTCAGCCAGGCAAAACCAGCATGGCGTAGCTCCGCCCCCTTTGGCCTCTCTTCTCGCTCATTGGCTAACGCAGAGGGGGAAGCAAAGCGAAGGGGCCGAAGCTTATCTACAACTGCTCGGCGTCACACTGGCGTCCGAATCCCCCAATCCTGAGGCACGGTCTTCGTCTTAGAGCCCGCCCCTCCAATGACGCCAGCAGTGCGCCGGGACGTCCTTTCGTCCGCCGTGTCCATGGACAACCTGAGAGGACGGGGCTGAGCGAGAGGAGGGGGGAAGAAGAAGAAGGAGGAGAAGGAGAAATGGCTTCTTCGATGGTCAGAGCCACCGTCCGGGCCGTGAGCAAAAGGAAGATTCAAGCCACCCGAGCCGCCTTGACGCTGGTCAGTATTTGCGGGCGAAGAGTAACTGCTCCTTCTCTTTCGTCTGCCTCTCACTCTCTGGGCGGGGGGTGGGGTTCCTTGGTAAACAAGCGTACTGCGCAGGCGCGGTCGCTCAGGGAGTCTGCAGGTCCTCTGACAGAGGCCTCATCGCTCCTTTTTTGCACCCAATCCTTAACTGATCATAAGAGCTAAGCTAGTGAGTAGTACTTGGAAGCGAGACTGCCAGTATCACAGTGATTCCCAAAGCCCTTCGGGTGTTTTGGACTTCAACTCCCAGAAGCCTCGCCTGCCTTGGCCTATGCTCAGGGATTGTGGGAGTTGGAGTCCCTGGGAGACCACAGTTTGGAACATTTCAATTTCATTTCAATTTCAATCCTATTAGGAACAGCCCAAAATTCCCAAATGACACCAGATCCTGCCAGAAACTAAGCAGGTCAGTCCTACTTTGTACTTGGATGGGAGACTGGCACCAAATGACAGGTGCTGTACTCTATATAAATAAAAACGTAATTTCAGTTTGTGGGATTAACATAACCCCAAAACCACTGGATGAATTAACACCAAATTTGGACACAATACACCTATCAGGCCAATGAGTGAAGGAATAAAGACATTGAAAAACACAGCGGAAGGGACTTAAAAAGCCAAAAAATGCATCACAATGCATGCGCAAAACCACATATATAAACACACGCATCTATACACAAATATATACCACACACAATATATAAAGACACTGAAAAACACAGTGAAAGGGACTTAAAAAGCCAAAAAATGCATCACAATGCATGCGCAAAACCACATATATAAACACACGCATCTATACACAAATATATACCACACACAATATATAAAGACACTGAAAAACACAGTGAAAGGGACTTAAAAAGCCAAAAAATGCATCACAATGCATGCGCAAAACCACATATATAAACACACACATCTATACGCAAATATATACCACACACAATATATAAAGACACTGAAAAACACAGTGGAAGGGACTTAAAAAGCCAAAAAATGCATCACAATGCATTTATAAACACACACATCTATACACATATACACAAATATATACCACACACATATATAAACACAGACATCTATACACATATACACAAATATATACCACACACAATACATAAAGACACTGAAAAACACAGTGGAAGGGACTTAAAAAGCCAAAAAATGCATCACAATGCATTTATAAACACAGACATCTATACACATATACACAAATATATACCACACACAATACATAAAGACACTGAAAAACACAGCAGAAGGGACTTAAAAAGCCAAAAAATGCATCACAATGCATTTATAAACACAGACATCTATACACATATACACAAATATATACCACTTAAAGGCACTGAAAACACAGCGGAAGGGACTTAAAAAGCCAAAAAATGCATCACAATGCATGCACAAAACCACATATATAAACACAGACATCTATACACATATACACAAATATATACCACACACAATACATATACACAGACAACACGTGGCAGGGGACAGCTAGTATCTATATAAATAAAAATGCAATGTTAGTTTGTGGGATTAACATAACCCAAACACTACTGGACAAATTGACACCATCACTCATAAAGACACTGAAAAACACAGTGGAAGGGACTTAAAAAGCCAAAAAATGCATCACAATGCATGCGCAAAACCACATATATAAACACACGCATCTATACACAAATATATACCACACACAATATATAAAGACACTGAAAAACACAGTGAAAGGGACTTAAAAAGCCAAAAAATGCATCACAATGCATGCGCAAAACCACATATATAAACACACGCATCTATACACAAATATATACCACACACAATATATAAAGACACTGAAAAACACAGTGAAAGGGACTTAAAAAGCCAAAAAATGCATCACAATGCATGCGCAAAACCACATATATAAACACACGCATCTATACACAAATATATACCACACACAATATATAAAGACACTGAAAAACACAGTGAAAGGGACTTAAAAAGCCAAAAAATGCATCACAATGCATTTATAAACACAGACATCTATACACATATACACAAATATATACCACTTAAAGGCACTGAAAACACAGCGGAAGGGACTTAAAAAGCCAAAAAATGCATCACAATGCATGCACAAAACCACATATATAAACACAGACATCTATACACATATACACAAATATATACCACACACAATACATATACACAGACCGGGCCACATCAACACGTGGCAGGGGACAGCTAGTATCTATATAAATAAAAATGCAATGTTAGTTTGTGGGATTAACATAACCCAAACACCACTGGACAAATTGACACCATCACTCATAAAGACACTGAAAAACACAGTGGAAGGGACTTAAAAAGCCAAAAAAGCAAAAAGTACATCACAATGCATGTGCAAAACCACATATATAAATATAAACACACATCTTATACACATATACACAAATATATACCACACATACACACACACACACAACACATACACACAGACTAGGCTACAGCAACACGTGGCAGGGGACGGCTAGTAATAAATAGTAATAAAACTTGATTTATATACCATCTTCCCTCCCCCCACCCCACCCCGAAGGGACTCAGAGCAGTGAACAACAAAAAGTCAGCAAACATACAATGCCATACAAAATAGCAAACTTTATTTATATCCAGCGCCATCTCCCCCAAAGGGACTCAGGGCAGCTTACAAGGTAGCAACAGTGCAAACAAAACATATAAAATATACAATGAAGCTTAGGCTAAATCAATAAAAATAAACAGCAAGAAAAATTACAAAATAAAACATACATGTATAATTTTAACAAAGCACCTTAAGTTAAGATAACAAATTTTTTTTGTCGTGTCAGGAGCGACTTGAGAAACTGCAAGTCACTTCTGGTGTGAGGGAATTGGCCGTCTGCAAGGACGTTGCCCAGGGAACGCCCGGATGTTCTGATATTTTACCATCCTTATGGGAGGCTTCTCTCATGTCCCCTCATAGGCAGCTGAATCTGATAGAGGCAACCTGTCGGTCTTCAGTCCTGCTGGCACAGGGGTTTAACCCACTATGCCACCGGGGGCTCCAAATAAACGATAAACAAACAAGGAATAATACATGAAACCATACTATACAACCCAAATTAGACATGCAGCCACAGTCAGATTCAAATTATTGACACCAAGGTAATTTAGGACCTATTTAGTTCCTCCAAAAGAAAAAAACATAAACAAATAACCATAACCAATGGATCTCAGTGTTATTTCACCAGTGGATTCAGTGGGGCTTTGAATAGTGTTGATTTCCCAGATTCCCATTAATTCTATGGGACTACCAATGTCTCATGGATTCAGTGAGACACATACACATATACACACACATTCTGTATATATATAGTGTATATATTTTATTCATTATATATATAGTGAATATATTTTATATACACTATATATATATATTGTGTGATAGGATTGTGTCAGAGTCAGAAACAAGTTGAAGGTACTCAGCAACAGTATACACATAATCAAACATATACCAAGCACATTGTACCAACTGAAAATTGAATATTCATATCTGATTACTTTCAAGGCCTTGTTGCAACTGAGGTGGTTGTTTGGACATATCACTATAATTTAGCTAAAACTAGTTGAACATGCAACCCTATGGAATGTATAGCAGGGGTCCTCAAACTAAGGCCCAGGGGCCAGATACGGCCCTCCAAGGTCATTTACCCAGCCCTCTCTCAGGGTCAACCTAAGACTGAAATGACTTGAGAGTACACAACAACAACAACAACAACAACAACAACATCAATACTATGTCATCACCGAAAAGCAGGTCCACACTTCCCATTGAAATATTAATAAGTTTATATTTGTTAAAATTCTTCTTCATTTTAATTATTGTATTGTTTTTAAGTTGTTGGGTGTTGGGGTTTTTTTTGTTTGCGTGTTTTTTGCACTACAAATACGATATGTGCAGTGTGCATAGGAATTCATTTTTTTAAATTATAATTCGGCCCTCCAACAGTTTGAGGGACTATGACCTGGCCCTCTGTTTAAAAAGTTTGAGGACTCCTGATCAAGTCACCATAATTCAGCAGGTGACTTGAACACACATATATGCACGTGCTAGAGATTTATGTTAACAAAAAGAACAGGAACTATAAAATATGAAATAAATTTGTCCTGGGCCAAGGCAGGATGGATAACCAGGTGCTCTACATAACATGCTTTCTTTATATTCTACTCAGTATGATAAGTAGGCACACAAAGGCAAACAGGTTCAAACTAGCTGACACTCCCCCAAGTGTCTACTGGCCTTTAGCCCAGATAACACCATGTGTTTTACATGTGTAGGGTCTAACTCTCTACATATGATTGGGACCTAAATATGACTAGAGGTGTTAATCTTAAGTATATAACCTGCTTCATGAATGGGGGGCTTCGGAGATGAAGTTGAGGGAATTCTAACTAACGTCATTCCCAATGCTCTAAATAGTTTGGGAACTGATTAAATGTGTGTGCTTTATTTGTTAATCTTTCCATATTATATTCTTTTTTTCTGATTGCCGGAACTGATGAAAAAAAAAAATCCCTAACCACACACAGTGTTATTCACATCTGCTAGAAGTTTTATTTGGAAATTATTTTATATAATATTTATGAACTTTCTAATGCACAATATGTCAGTAATATGTATGTTTCTTACATTGTTTACATTTTAAGCGAACATATATATGCACTGGAAATCATTAGTATATGTTTTAGCTTGTCTCAAATGTTGTGCACTACATAAGTAGATTTTTTTAAAGTTATATGTGCTTTTCAAGTGTTAAAACAGTATATGGATGGAGAATGGGATCATATCCACTGCCCCTTCTCCAGCCTCCATGTGGGTCAGTGAAAGGTTAGAACAGGTTCCATACGGGTAAAGTTATTTGTGCATTTGAGAATCCTTGTTTCACCAGGATTCTCAGTTGTGCATATAGACCCTTTGCATGTACAGATCTGAGCATGGGACATTGAAGGGAGCAAAAGCCGCAATTGTAAAAGGGACTGGAAGAATTACAACTGTGGCATCTCCACGGCAGGTGAAACGTGAACCAGAAGAGGGGCTACAGGAACGCTGGGAAGCCCAATGGCAGGAGTTCCTGAGGACGCTGCAAGGCCCTCATTCAGAATGGGAGCGTGTGCACATGCCTGAGGAGCCCACACCACCATGGGATGACGCTAAAGGTTTTCTGGCCTCCTTCGAGCAAGTTGCATCGGCCTGCCGGTGGCCTCTGGACAAATGGGTTCCCCTTCTCCTGCCAGCCCTCAGTGGAGAGGCTGAAGAGGCCTTCAGCAGCCTCAGTGCCCAAGACAGGGGAGACTACAGGAAAGTGAAGGCAGCAATCTTGCAAGGGGAGTCCAATGCCAGGGAGAGGCAGCGCCAGCACTTCAGGCAATTCCGCTACCAAGAAACAGAGGGGCCTAGAGGTGTCTATAGCCAGCTCCGGGAACTTTGCAATCAGTGGCTGAAAGTGGAGCAGCACACTAAGGAGCAGATTCTAGAGGTGCTGATCCTGGAGCAGTTCCTGACTGTTCTGCCTCAGGAGATGCAGAACTGGGTCAGGGAGCATGGCCCAGAGACCTGTGCCCAGGCTGTCCTTCTGGCTGAAGATTTCCTGGCTAAGCAGAAGGATGCCATGGGGCTCGTCGAGCAGCTCCCAGTGTCGCAGGCTTTGGGGTTGGTGGCAGATGTGGAGCCCTCTGAGACAGGCCATGTTCAGTCCCCAGATGCCTGGAAAAGGAACCTGTGCAAGGAGGAGCAAGTTGGTGAAGGGAGCTCATTGGACGTGAAACAGGTCCTTGAGAACAAGGAAAACAGTCTTCAGTCGGGGAATCCAGATCAAATGGAATCAAGAGACACATTGAGAGCAAGCAGTGTTTTGCAGAGTTATGAGGGAAGAATAAGGTGTGGGAGCTATCAGGGATCAGAAAATGAGCATGTAGCTAACCTTGAGAAAAGGATGGAGGGAGCTCTACCCAGCATGAAATGGAGATTTGATCAGAGGGGACCAAGAGCATACCAAAGGATTCACCTCTCTGGAAGCCATTTCGCTTGGCGCTCAGGCCTCGGAATACGTGGGAGATTTAATACAGGAAAGAAAGCATATGAATGTGCTGAGTGTGGGAAGGTTTTTGATCATAAAGGGAATTTTAAGAATCATGAAAGAGTTCACACTGGAGAGAAGCCATACAAGTGTTCCCAATGTGGGAAAAGCTACATTCAGAAGGGAAACCTTATGATACATGAGAGAACCCACACTGGAGAAAGACCATTTATGTGCATGGAATGTGGAAAAACTTTTAGTCAGAAAGGAAACCTTGCCAAACATGAAAAAATGCACATTAAAGAACCTGAATAAATTTTATTTTTGTGGAATAATCGCAGTGCATAAACTGTTACTGACTTACCGTGCTGAAATGGAGCATAACTAGTTGTAGTAGCTTGGTCACTATGCATTTTGTTATCTGCAATTATATAGGAGAACAAGATAATAACAGTTATGATTGTGTTATGTTGAAATTATATTGTATAGCAATATGTCTTATATATAAAACCAATGAGGTCGGTTATTTGCCCTTAAAAGGGTCTAAAATATTTCAAATACAAATATACTTCACTTATTCACTCAAAAAGTACAAAGAATTGAGAGTAAGGCCAACACAAATGCATCTGTCTCTTTGTTTTTCTATCCTTTTTTTCCTATCTGTTTTCTTTTTTCTCCTTTCTGTGCATATATTGATTTAATATGTGGACAGAACTTGAATTGGGAGTTATAGCTATCTGGAAGAAATAATCAATCACAACTTTAAAGAAATAAGATTTCAATGATGTTGTTAATTAAGTTACTCACTGATGAACTGCAAAAATGTGGAGTGTTAATTTTTTGTGGGAAAATACAGCAACAGAAAGCTTTCTCTTACACATTTTCTTGACTGTGTTTTTTTAATTCTGCCCAGCACAAGGTTCGGAATGATGGTGTAGTTTGTGCATTATTCTTCTGTTAGCATAGCTTTATTGGCCACCTTTCCAAAAGCTCCATACAATGCACATGCATAAAGTAAGCAATCTTTCCTAAGTCTCATTGAATGCACCAATGACAACATGCGAAGAGGAGTGTAACTGCACCATTCTCTCTTCATTAGATTTAATATCACTTGCAGATAGAAGAACATGGCTCCACAATCATGAATGTTACCAGAGGAGGAGCTCATGATGCTAATGAAGTTGTAGTTGTTTGAGGGGTTGGTTTTGGGGGGAGTGATTTTTTAAAAGCCCAAACACATGCACTGCACCTCCAACATTTCATCCCCACTTTTCTCAAAGACTTTAAGGAAGATTCTGTTTGTTAGGAAGGGTTTTTTTTAATGCTGTGCAGTACTGGCTTTATTTCTTGTCTTTTTAAGTAATAAATATTACATTGCTTTTAATTTTATGCACGGTTTATTTAACAGTGTATGTTTTCTATTTTTTTATCTGTATGTTTTTTCTGTATCTGTTAATATTTTTGTAAGTGGCCTTGAGTCTCAGTTCTGGAGAAATGTGGCATATAAATAAAACAGCAAAATGATTGCAGTCGTAATTATTCCAGCACTACCATTTGTCCTATATAATCTTGGTCAACAAAAAGCCACAACAGCATGAAAATAATTGCAATAAGGAAGGGACAGCAAATTTATTCTGCGGGGGAGTAGGTTTGTACTGTCTTCTCTCTAAGTAGCAGGCACTGGAGTTGTGTAGACTTTCAAATGTTGCAAAATTGCAACTTCAAGTATTTTTTTACTTTGGCTATGCTGGCTTGGACTACTTCACGTAGTCCTTTCTAAATCCACTCAAGTTGTGAAGAGCTGCACAATTTCCACCTCTAAGTTATCTGAAACTGGGTATCACAGCATGCACACAGAGAGGAAAGAAGGAATGGATAGATAACACATCTGGACTGGATCCCATGGTGCAATTCTACAGTTTTTAATGCATCTCTTTTGAGTATTTTTAAATTCAACAAAGCATTAGTAGACTTTACATTATTTTGGCTTTTGCCCCACATAAAAATGTCACAAAATATGTAGAAACCGACAAATATGATGAGTAAGTAGATAGAATAGCTGCCCTGCGAGAGAAAATTAAAATTTGAGGGTTTTTTCTTATGCAAAAGGTGAATAGAGGAAAACACTGAAGAAGTGTATAAATGTGTAATGTGGAGAAAGTGGGAAGAGATTTTCTCTTTTATTTTACTGGAACTGGTCACCTGCAGATAAAAGGATGTGCAGTCTTATTTCTACAACAACTAGTTAAATTAAAATTTATAACTGCAAGATGTAGAGATGGCTACCCATTTGGATGACTTTAAAAGGTTAAACCATAAGAGATTCCTTGGCATCAATGGAAATTTCTCTGCAAAAGTTTGTTTCTTTGGTATATTTAAAGGGATCAAAGGGTTTTCTTATACTTTTATGAAACTGGGCAGCTGTGAATTGGCTGTGTTTTTCTCAGCAATTTAGCGCTGAATTACAGTGTCTTGGTCCCTTCCTCCCCCTTGGAAATGTGTCTAAAAGTCACATTCAGCTGAATGTGGAATTGGACCAGGGTTTGAAAACTGAGCCATTAATAAATAATTTGGGTTACTTTTTAAAGTATTTCTGCTGAACCCATTTCTCACTTAGCCTTGGAGGCCTTTGCATTGTTTGGGACACAATTTAAAAGCACAAGAAGTCAAATTATCTGTATGTTCTGTTCATTTGTGCATTCTTAATGAAAATATATAATAGGATTTGGCATGATAGGATGTAGTTGATATTCATCCAGTATAAAATCATTAATGTTGAACATATCTTTCAGACCCCATCTGCTGTGAATAAGATAAAACAACTACTTAAAGACAAACCTGATCATGTAAGTAAATGTGGAGGGTATTTCTAATATTATTCATATATTTGATAATTGTTTTCAGTGTTCCATTGATTGATGCAGTGCTGCAGCAGCCCTGTGAATCTATATGAGATGTGATTATTATATTCCTTCATAAAACAGAGTTGTTATTCCAGATTGACAAGTGGATGTGACATCCTTTTAAATATTGAAAATGTTAATCTACCAACTACATTTTCAATAATGTGTAAATTCATATATTTTCAAACTGATGTGGGTTTTTTCCCCTCAGCAATTTTATTATATACCTCATAAAATTTAATGAAATTACATTTTTTGAACCTCTTGTATGACAAACCACCCAATTGAGCATTGTAATTCAATGCTGTTTTCTTTTAATAAAAGCCAATTGCATAGTGCAGATGTTGATAGTATAGTTTTCTGGACCTTGAGTCTTTTCTAGCTCTCACTTTTTGGTGTCTGTTTACATTGTTGGAAGTCATGGTCCCAGTCTTCCAAACATTTCTTACGCTTAATACCAGTAAGATGAGTGAGATTTTAGTGATGCTGCACATCTGCTTAGAAAAGGTGTCACTGCAATTAGTGGCACTTTCACTAATAAGTGTCTATAAAACTATAGATTTACTTTTCTATAAATCCCGAGGCTAGATAATGTTGAAACTGTAGGTTTCTTTGAAGACATTAGTTGATATGGGGAAGCCTTTGACTTTATGATGGCCTACATGCTCATGACTCCCATCCAGCATAAGATAGTATGGGATTTTGATAGTTGTTGTTCATCTGGAATAGTGAAGAAGAACCACTGAATTAAATTTAGGGTGATTGGCAGTTATTAGTTATTGGGTTGCTGTGAGTTTTCTGGGCTGTATGGCCATGTTCCAGAAGTATTCTCTCCTGATTTTTCGCCTGCATCTATGGCAGATCTCTGAGGATGCCTGCCATAGATGCAGGCAAAACATCAGGAGAGAATGCTTCTGGAGCATGGCCATAAAGCCCAGAAAACTCACAGCAACCCAGTGATTCTGGCCATGAAAGCCTTTGACAATACAGTTATTAGTTATCTTTGTAAGAAAAAGAACTCAGTATTAAAACTTCCATTTCAGGTAGGAGTTAAAGTTGGCGTCCGTACAAGAGGCTGTAATGGACTTTCATACACACTAGAATATACAAAATCAAAAGGGGACTCTGATGAAGAAGTAGAACAGGATGGTAAGTCTGGTTTTGAACAATTGAGGCTCTGAAATTATGTTTATATTGCTTATTTGAACTATTGCTGTTAACTTTCATCGTAGTTCTTTTTAATTAGTGTGGAAGCATATTCTTAAATTTAATAAGAGTCTGTAAAGCAGAGCAAACTGACTTTCTCTTCAGATAAACATAATATTTAGTTGTTTGGTAATCAGTTGCTAAAGACCCAATAATTGAAGGTGCTCATTTGGAAGCAAGTCCCATATTATAGAAGGAGCATATCCAAGTGCTTCAAGTTTAAGATCATAGTTCTTATGCTGAAAAATACATTTTTTTTATTAAACCATCTTGCAAAAATTGGAAAATTACACAGCTAATATAAACCAACAGGTCCAGACTATGACTACGTAGTCCACTTTTCTGAGTTATAAATTATGAAAGCATTTTATTTGCCGAGGAATATGGAATCCATACGGTGGTTCCATGAAACTAAATTAAATAGGGCCTGAAGCTAATTAATTCTTTTGAAAAGAGATTTCATAAAAGTAGTGGGGAGATGGGGAGTGTCAATCTTGCAAGATGTTATCAGCATGATAGATGGGAATTAGAACCCAACTATGTTTAACATTATGCAAATAAGATTTGCATCTATTAAAAACCAAAATCTCATTCTGTTTTTCTTCTTCTTTTTACTCAAGGTGTTAAAGTGTTTATTGAAAAGAAAGCGCAGCTCACCCTTCTAGGAACTGAAATGGATTATATAGAAGACAAGCTGACCAGTGAATTTGTTTTCAATAATCCAAATATCAAAGGAACCTGTGGCTGTGGGGAAAGCTTTAATATTTAAAGTATCAGGACAATATCCACGGTGTCCTTGTGAAAGTAATCATTTGGCATGTGTTTACCAAGTTTTTAGGCTTTGTAAAGTATGGCTGCCTTCACAGGAGAAATAAAAGTACTGCCTTTCTGAAGTGTAATCTGTGTGTTAAATCGCAGCCCTTGCATATTTCCAAAGTTTGATAAGTGAAAGCACTTTGAGGTCCATCAGGATATCTTTTAATTTTATTTGCAGAAATCCTTATACATTGAGATCTCATTGTTTCTTCACAAGACACAACCTGAAAAGTGTTATGTATGCAAAGTTGTATTTTAAAGTTAAGAGTACTGTTTGCATTGAAGCCCTCATTAGACTTTAAAGTGAAACTTACTTGTACCAAAAAAATGTCAGTGTTTTCTTTTTCCCCCCCAAAAAAAGCCACGAGCTGTTAAAACAAAATGTTGGCATTCTGAAAAAGCTCACGTGCTTATATATTTGATGTCAATTGATCTTCATTTAAAATAACTTACTGTATATACTCAAGTATAAGCCTAGTTTTTCAGCACCTTTGTATACTGGAAAGACCCCCTTGGTTTATACTCGAGTGAGGGTCCTGGCGGGAAGGTGTCCTTTGCAGGACTTCTACCAGCTGTGTGCCTCCTCTTTCGGGACAGCATCACAGCTGGATCTCTGTGTCGAGAGGAGGAGAGGAAGGCATGCGGCATTCCAGCTGGGTTGCTGTGCTGAGAGGGGAGGGGAAGCTGTGTGCCTCAATTAATATCATTTCATTGGTATCTATTTTTATTTTGAAATGTACCAGTAGCTGCTACATTTCCCACCCTAGGCTTATACTTGAGGCAATAAATTTCCCAGGTTTTTGTTTGTTTGTGTGTTTTTGTGATAAAATTAGGTGTTTTGGCTTATATTTGGATCGGTTTATATAAGGTATATCTAGATTTTGTTGAATATCCAGTGTCTCTTTTGTTGCCACTAGGAAAGCCACTAATATTTTAAGGAATACTTTTATCTTTTTTTAAGGAAGGAGATAAGACAGAATTTTATTGTCTTTAAAAATCCTTTCTCTTTTTTTGGCTTATTAATATAGATGCCCCAAAATAAATACAAATTCTCTGCACAGTTCATATGTCTGCATCATTTTAAGTGATCTGGTTTTTCAGGAAAACAAGCTACTTCTTTCTGAGCAATTTTCTTAGATAGCATTATTAGATTGACATACGTTAGTATTTTGGTTAAAGTTCACCCTGACAAGAAGACATCTGGTGAAACTTTTCCATTCAATTTATCATTTGTTTGAATAGGAAAATGAATATTTTTCCAAAAGAAAAATGCCTGTATGTATTAATATGATTACTTATATACTTACTTAAATCAGTGTAGGACTTGTTTGCATAGTCTTCCAATTAAGACAGTACCGTGCTTCTAAAAGGTATAATTTTTCCGTTTATCTGTTCAGGAGGAAGCAAAGCCACATTTCCACCCAAACCTTTCTAGAACTCTTTTATAGCTCATATTCAGTTATCTTACAAATGTAGCAGCCATGGTGGCAAAATGAGTTAAACCCTTGTGCCAGCTAACCTGAAGGTTGGCAGTTCAAATCTATGAGACAGTGTGAGTTCCCATCTGTCTGCTCCTGCTTCCCATGCGGGGACATGAGA